TATGTCAGGTTTTGGTAAAATACCCTATATTAAAACAGATCATAGGAATTCCTATGGTACTAATTGTGCACCCCTGGTCGCCGATTTGTTTTTGTACTGCTATGAAAGAGGACTTTATGTTGAGTCTCTCGGAAGAGAAACAACAAGATGTTATAGTCGCATTTAATAATACTTCCAGATACCTTGATATGATATTTTTAATTTAGATAATCCTTATTTTTGATCAAATGGTGTCTGACATTTATCCGCATGAAATACAACTTAATAAAACGAAAACTCTTGAAATTTTAGTACATCATTTTTGGATCTTCATATTACTATCAACAATTAATTCTATTCACACGAAAAATTTATGATTAAAAGAGATGACTTTGACTTTTGTATAGTTTAATTATCCACATTTGGATGGAGACGTACCCCATGCAACATCCTACGGGGTTTATGTTTCTCTCAGTTAATTAGAATTCGCTAGAGCTTGTAACAACGTAAAGGATTTCAACGAGCGGAATATTTTTATTACCAGCAAGCTTCTAAAACAGGGCTACCGCTATCATAAATTACGGAAATATTTTACTAAATTTTACAATCGTAACTTTTGATTTAATTTCTAAATTCAATAGTGATTTAAAAACTCTTCTGCGACAAGGGATTAGCCAGCCTGGATTTTATGGCGATGTGGTTTAAAAAACTTCGTAAGATTTTGGGGGTCATGGTAATTTTTTCTGCTGTTTTTACTAAAAATTATTAAACGTTTTATTAAAAAGAGGTTATGACCCTACTATTTTAAGACATACTGCATGTTTAGTGTTCAAACCCTTTTACAGTTGGACACTACGCTTTCCTCTTTTGATTGCATCTGACGGACCAAGTGGGAGACTCTATGATGGATAGTTCGTAAAAGCCCTTTGGGACTGAATTGTCTTAATGTTCGTCTTCTGCCTTGCTTTCGTCGGGCCCTTGTAGGTGATTTTCTTGTTGCTCTGTCTTCCTTTAGGACATTGAGTACTTTTGTTATGGTCATTGGGTTTACTTTTATATGTTTCTACATGATCATTTCAGTGTTTTACTTATTTAACCTTTTGTAACCATGACAACTGTTAGAATTTCACTTTTGGCGGGGATTCATATTTTATTTACACTGTCTCGTTTATAGGAACATGGTGGGGCTAAGAGCGAGGTTTGGTGCACCATTAACCGGTTTAAACTCCCAGCAGTCATTATTATGCTGCTGACCGTTCCAAGGCGGCGCCCCACTGTGTTCCTCAGATGTATGTCTATGTTGTTTTCATACTGTTTTGGTGACACTTTTGCTTGTGTCCCTTGTTGTTTTTCTCGTCTACGGTAAGTATCTTCCCCATTGCCTCTAGTTTTTATTTCTTTTGATAACCCCCCCCCTTTCCCCCGGTCTCCTGTCCCCTTCCCCTTTGTGGGCCTATTATTATTTTCTTTGAATTCCTAATCAGTTACAAATTATTTATCATTTATTGATTAACGTGTCGTTGCCCTGTCCTTTTTATGTTTGGGGTCCGCCTGGGCTCCTTGCCATTGGTTCTTGTTGCTGGGTCATATGGGGGTTGCGTTCATTGAACGCCGCCTTTCCTTGTTGATCTTGTTTTTTATATTTCGTGTGCCTTCTGATATATGTGATATATCTCATAACATCCCAAATCTGACAGAATCTGATTGTGATAGTGATTCGGAGATATGTGAAGGATTTACTGTTCAGGACGACAATGCACCTGTAACTCTTACAAATCCGTTCGATTCTGACGATGAGAGTTTTTCCCTTTTGATCGTCATGGAGCAAGTCCACGCTGATGATCAAAGGGCGTCGTGCTAGGGCCCGCATTTTCCTGATGTTTTATTTTACATTAAAAAGGGAGACCATTAGCGTTCTTCGGAAAAAAAAACCCCTGCCTAAGTACTGTAGATGATTAGTGTGGATAATTACCTTCGCAATTTAAGAGCAAACCATATGATTCACCATTCCACACGATTTTTAAAGTTTTGTTGCTACGCTATTTATGACCAGAATGTTGTTATTGAAATTGGCTGTATAGTTAACTCAGATTTTTATTCTAAAATTACCGAATAATTGAAAAATTGTAAATGTTTAACTTTTCTGTTGACAATTTTTACGCCGTGTTCAAGTTTTAATTTCCCACACAGTTTCAATATTGTTTAGTTTCTCCAAAAGGGCTTTGTTTCTTCTTTTTTTCAATCTGTGTTTATTAAGTTTTAATCAAAACCGTTTTATTCGTTCAACTACTTTAAGTGATATAAGTACTATAGAAGTCATGTGTGTGTAATTATATATCTTTATATATATCTTTACTGATCTGATGTTGTTTGAATATACCTCGTCAAACAAAATGTTTTCATTTCAAAAGAAAAGAGGTAGCGCATATAGTTGTATTGTGATTTGGTATAAGAATACCGTGCGTTACATGAGTTACTTCCCTGTGTGTTAATTTTGCCATTTGCTCTGTAATAAAGTTAAAGTGTTCGTTGGTGATTCTTTCTCCTTACTGGCGCTTAACATCCTTTCAATTCAATTCAGTATTAAAAAGGAATTTGAACTTGATAGGTCAAGAAAAAAATGAATTTAAAACACACCCTTTTCGAATCGGCGGGGCTTCTAATATGTTCCGTGAGGGTTGTGCTATCAGTGAAATAAAATACAGAGGCCGATGGCGATCTAACGCTTACAAATCCTACATCCGATAAGTTTATGCTATTTCATGAACAAAAAAAACTAATTTTTTTAGGATCTGCCAAAATGGCTGTAATGTGAATGCCGGCGATCCGAAATTTGGCTATTGAAATAAAATATTTTTTTGTATTAAGAAACCGTTACCGGGTCTTAATACACATTAATGTATCAAATAGAGCAATTTATGCTGTTGTTATATAAAGATATATATATTGGCATTATGTGCCTGGCATTATGTGCCTGATATTGTGTTTTTTAAATTTGTTAATGTATAACAAGCAGTTGGCGTTATGTGCCTGACATTATGTGTCTTTAATAATTTATAACACCCAGTTGGTATTATGTGCCTGACACAATGTGTCTTTAATAATTTATAACACCCAGTTGGCATTATGTGCCTGACATTATGTGTTTTTAATAATTTATAACTGTAACCACATAGTTGACATTATGTGCCTTAAATGTGTTTTTGAAAACATTACTTGATTATTATTTATATTAAATGGATAGGTACACCATACTGAATATATAATCAAACTCATTTCAGCCTGTAAAATGTCGGATGTTTTGATTAAGGCTCTTCAATTATAAGGGATGCCTTCCAAACAGCATGCCGCAGAAGTGAAGGATCTCACTTGGGACTTCAATCTCTAGGTTGTAATGTTATATAGGAATATCAAGGGGGCATGAAAGTTTCTGACTTAAAACCTTCGATAGAATACTTGCTTGAGTTTAAAAATGCGCCTAAATTTTTGATATTACACTGTGGCGGGAACGATTTAGGAAATCGACCTTCAGTTGAAATCATATGGGACATCCAAAACTTTATAACAGGGACTTTACTGGAAAAAATGCCTGATAAGAAAAATAATTTGGTCTCAGATATTACCAAAAAGGTCATGGAGGTATGTCCAATGAATGTAACAAAACTGAAAATAAAACCCGCATGCGTATAAATAGTTCTATCAGTACATTTGTTATTAAACACGGGGGTTATTATATTCGTTACCCTGATATTACGGAGAACCCTAGGTTGTAGAGGCCGGATGGCACACATCTGTCGGACTTTGATAACCACATTTTATTGAATACAATATCGGGTGCTCTCCACACAGTCACGTCCATGGCTGGGTAGGGCAAAATTGTAGCTGTGGTTGCCCGCTTTGGTGGAAGCCAACAGTCAAATGTTTCACTTTGCTTGTGGGCTTTTTGGCATGTGCTTCTACGTTTTTGCAACCGTTGCCGGGGCAAAAACAGTTATAGTAAAGACATTTAGTAGTTTTAACTCGAAACACATATACATTTCAATAGGTTAAATAATTTAAATGCTTTTATCCAGCCATGGCCGTTTTCATGCCAACACGTTTTTATTAATAAATACGAGTACGTTTTTTAAACTGATTTCCCTTTTCCTTTACTCCCAAGTTGTAATGTTTGAATAATATTCGATTTATCCGCTAGAGGATTAAATATTTTATTCAAATCTTACAACTTAACAGTTTTATTATAATACACCAGAAGGGCCTCAAAATGAGTTATCAAGTGAGACAACTTACACTGGATTATGTCATATATAAGGCAGAAAAAATTCTGGGAACGGTCTTTCATTCGTGGCTCACCATAGAAGAGGTAAACTAGTTTATCGTTAAAAAATGTTAATTTACATTTCAAATCTTGAATCCCACCACAAACCCACCCGTTCAATGTCTTTGTTTTTTCTTTGTTTTTGCTTTCTTCCCTTTTTATATTTTCAGATAACACTATTAGCACGTCATGGCTGGAACAGACAGATACAGAAAAAGGAGAATGCTTATAATTCTCAGCGAGCGTTATCGGAGCTGATCAATTTGTAAAACAGACATTTAAAGTGATTTCATCATCTGTACCTGTGTACCTTGAGTTGAAACATGTGCTACCACGTTTTTGCATCCGTTGCTGTTCTTACGTGTTCATAAGATGCGGACGTAACATTACCCATTTCAAAGCTTGGTCAAAATTTAGTTGGACGGTAGCTTGCAATTAACACTAACGTCCATGAACAGACTAATCAAACCAATCGTGCAACATTTTCAATTTTTGCCGTTTTGGGATTCCATATTCCTGTATTTCCTATATTTTTACTAAACGTACTTTTAAATAAAGAGTTGTAACATGTAAAATATTTCATTGAGTTTTTTTTACCTGTTAGAGCTTTTTTACGGCGCAACAATAAACCTTTTATAGTTATGCTCGCTAAAATATTTTCTGGCTAATAGCTCAAGCGGCTTGCCACAAAAAAGTATCTTACTGATTGGCATAGGTAGTTCCGTCGGATCCGCACACCATCTCGTCTCCTTGTGTAACATGAGTGGCACAGTCCACAAGCAGAAGTTCCAAACATAGTGTTTCACTGTAATTCAATTCTACATTAACAATAGATGCATCAACTTCTCCTGGACTTGGAACATAGTGAACACCTACTCCTGGTTTTGCAACCCCTGTTGATGGAAATGAATTACATGTCGTTATGAATAATTATCACCTTTACATAATTTGCAATATTCACTGCATGTTTCACATTTGCAAATTTATACAACTTGATAGAAATGAAATCCGTATAATATACGAGTTCGATACGGAATGATGGTACAAATATAGTATAAGGGTGTATATAGAGGATATTGAATGAGTGTTGAATGTTGAATTTATTGAACAAGTTGAACAAAATTATATTATGCGAGAGTGCATAATATTCTTTTATTCAACGAGTTCAATAAATTTTGTATTAAACTTACACGAATTTAATATTCTATTTATCACATACTCAAAATAAAAACTGTTAAAAGTGAAAAAGTATCATTTTCCATTGACACGCTTATATTGTAACGCTATCATTAAGCGCGTCTTTACACTTTGCTTGTATAACGCAAATGACGTCACATCAAATATATCCATGGCTGTGCAATACCGTTTTAACGGAGTCGGCACGGGTATGTGATTAAAATGGTTCTCAATGTGATCGAGTATCTTGATGTACTTCTATTTTGCATTCATGAATTTTACTACAAAGAATCAAATGCGGCGCTTCAGTACTTTTGTGAGATCCTGGCCTATTCAAATCCAGTCGCATTGATTAAGTACAAGATAAAGATAGCATGTGCTCTCATATTAAAGAGCTTGAAAAGAAGTTATCCCGCAGAGGCAATGAAAACAACACTATTAAAAGATAATTAAAGACTCGGTTTAAGTGAGTCAGTTCATGAGATATAATTAAAAGTGCAACATCTCCCATGCCCCTAGCACCAGCTTTAGATGTATTCAGCCTCCAGCTATAACCTGCTTGAATCAATGATTCCGAAGGAGCAAAAAGATATTACAACAGTGAAGTGAAGTACGAGGCTTATAACTGTTTACAGCTGCCTAACGACATGTCGCACCTGCTGTTGTGAAGAATAAAAATCTGAAAAAGGATTAATCCTTAATTTAAGAAGGAATGAAAACAACAATGCTATATGAAAAGTGCATACTCGGTTTGATTGTGTGAAAAATCTCTCACTAAATATCTGGGGAAAAATAATTCTATTAAGCATATTTTATTAGAATCAGCATTGTACGTACTGCAGAACATGCATATTTTGAAATTATGTGACACTTTTTAAAAGGGGAAAGAAAACAAGCAAACCTAAAGTAATCAAAACAAATATCGTATTTATTGACATCATGATGTGATCTAAACGTGTTTGAAGTTAATTTACGGCCTTATCATGTTTATCCTCAAGATTCGCCTGTGTCTAAGATGTCATGTATATAACACAATAACCTTCGGTGAAAGAAAACTTTAAAAGCTTTAATCGAGGTGATTGAAGATAGTTGATTCTTGAATCAAATGCCGAAATCTAAATGGCAGATAATTTATAACTGGGCAATACGATTTACTACTTTATATAAATTGTAGATTTTTATTCTTTCCGGATGTAAGACATTACTATACGTCTGTCCGTGCACTGTGGAGATATTTGTGTTTACTTTATTTTGTCCCTTCAACTAATCCCTTCGATTTACAGTTAAAAATAAATTCGGAATAAAGGATTCCTTCCGATTTCTATGACGTAAAGTCATATATTGGTTTCCTCTTCGGTGATTTGCAGCATGCCATATTAATGAATACGAACAGGAACAAATTATACGCCTCAACAAAAAATAAAACTTAAATTCTGTAATTTATTTCTTACATTTGTTTCTTCTATAGGAAATTACTTATTATTTTGCAGTACACTGTGGGTTATGTATGTAATTTAATTCGAAAGCTGTAAATATATGACCTAGCTTAACATTGTGAAAGTCCGAGATCTATTTACAGAAGTAGATTTAGTTTCGTGTCTGAAACTAAACGAAACGGTAGTTCGTGTCGCACCATGGTAATAAATAACGAACTGGAGAATTTTACAGGAAATGAGATGTATATATATTCAACAGTAAATTGCACTCGTTATAAATTTATCGAAAGAAATTAAGTAGACCGTTTTTACGAATTGTTATATCATATTATTATCAATTTGAAATTGTCTTTTTCGTATGTTCTTTCTGGTATAGATCGGACTTTTTTTCATCGACATTTTTTTCGACCCTGATTTTCCGAATTTTTGCTGTAAGAAGATGATGCTATTTTGTTTGAAGACAATCGTTTTTATGGTGGTTTGAGTAGAATGCTGATTTGCCGAATACTGTGACATTTTAACAACAGAAACGTTCATCTGCAGTTTCAACATAAAGTGTTATGGGTTAATAAACACACTGGTGGGTCAGATGAGGATATTGAAGCAATTCAACAAAAGAGTAGATTGATCTTCCAATAAATCAATTAACAATAGCCCTTTATTTATCACCAATGTCAAGTAGCTTTTATATCGTTGACTCGCACGAACATGATTTAAGCGAATTTCCCCATACTGTCTAAAGTTCAGGTAACAGTCTTCTTATTCATCCCATTTTTTTCATTCCAGTGTGTGTTCTACTTTCAGAATTCATCTAGGATTGAGTATCTAAAGTCCCAGGTATGGTATTAATAGAAACCATTTTCTTTTAATTTGACATGAAAAAATGCATGTTATATTTCTATGTTAGTCACTTTTGTAACTATTTCTATTTCTTGTTCGAAAATTTGTTACAATTATAATATAAAAGAAGAGGGTCATGATAGCCCTGACTCGCTCACCAGAAACAACTGCTTTTTAGTGTTGGACATTATCCATTGTCAATATTTTCTAATATTAAATTTGAGCATAGAATACGTTTAAACAATAATTGAAAAAAATTCCATGACCTGGGGCATTTTAGCTTTAGCTTAAACGGGGCCAATCAAATTAATTTGAGCAAACTTGTAATAAAACTACAAAGTTTGATGATCATCTATCAATTGTATCAGTAGGAAATTATGTTCAAAGTTTTTCTATTTTTGGCTTTTAATAGCCCCTTAAAGGGGCCAATCAAATTAATATGAACAAAGTTGATAAAAGAGTACCTAAGAATGCTACAGACAAAGTTTGGTGATCATGCATCAATTATTTCTGTAGAAATAGACATTTAAAGGTATTTCTATTTTTAGCTTTAACGGCCCCTTAATGGGCTAATCACATTAATATGAGTAAACTTGATAAAAGACTACCCAAGAATGCTACAGACAAAGTTTGGTGATCATCCATTAATTAGTTCTGTAAGATGTCTAAAGGTATTTCTTTTTATAGCTTAAGCTGCCTCTAAGAAAATACTACCTATGTATGCTACAGACAAAGTTTGGTGATCATCTATCAATTATTTCTGTTGAAAAAGACATTTAAAGGCATTTGTACTTTAAGCTCTAGAGACCCCTTTAAGGACTCAATCAAATTAATCTGGGCAAACTTGATAATAGACTATATCAGAATGCTTCATACAAAGTTTAATGATCATCCATCAATTAGTTCTGTAGAAATAGGCGTTAAAAGGTAATTCGTTTTTAGCTTTAGCGGCCCCTAAAAGGGGCCAATCAAACTTGATAAAACACTACCCAAGAATGCTACAGACAAAGTTTGATGATCATCCTTCAATTAGTTATGTAGAAATAGACGTTTAAAGGTATTTCTATTTTTAGCTTTATCGGCACCTAGAAGGGGCCAATCAAATCAATATGTGCAAACTTAAAATACAACTACCCAAGAACGCTACAGACAAAGTTTGGTGATCATCCATCAATAAGTTCTGTAGAAGAAGAAGGTTAAAGGTTTGTTTTCTAATTTTAGCCCTAGAGTCCCATTAAGGGGCCGATGACTTTAATATGAGCAGACTTGATAAAAGACTAGATCAGAATACTTCAGACAAAGTTTGGTGATCATCCATCAATTAGTTCTGTAGAATGTGTACAATCAGAATCTTCAAATTATTGGTTAGTGTTTCGGTACCGGAATAAGTAGTGTACTGCCCGGGAGCCTTCTGAAACACAAAAAGTGTTTATTTTTTATATATTATAGTAATAATCAACACTGTTTAAAAAAACCAAAAAAACAAAAACAAACAAACGAAACAGCACACGTTATGTTAAGATTTCTGGACATTACGAAGATCAACTTTAGAATTCACCGAGGTGTTTACCGACAAAAATCATCTAGGACCGACAAAAAACTATATGAATAATTTTATTGAACAAAAGGCAAATGCCTATGAGTACATATATACAAACAATTCAATATAAATCATCATTAATGATTGTAATCGTAAAAAATACCAATCATCACTGCATGCAATGCGGTTTATGCCATCTGTCTGTTTTTGTATACAATCTGTGTGACGATAAATGAAGTCTTAGTAAAGCAGTTCGGTATTTATTGATGTTGACTATATATTGCAAATAAACACATATAAATTTTATTTATGATTTGTTATATATGCAAGGCATATTAATTTTATATTCTAAATGTCTTTTTTTCTTTTTTCTTTGTTATTTAGAACTTTTAAATATATGAGTACCAACACATATCTACGGACACGAAAAAACGGATGCAACGCGTATACTGGACGTTGATACCGACATGAAAAGATTTGTAACATTGCATAATCTGTTGCAAAATTTGTGCTGAAAATATCTTATGAAAATGTTTTTACTTTGTTTGTAGTTAATTTCAATTTTTTATTGAAGACATTGCATGACTATTTATGATTTCCGACATAGAAAAAAAGGGATCCTGTGAAACGAAGATTTACAAACAAGAAATTTTTAGAACGAGCTGTAAAAAGGACATGGAATACCTTTTTTTGTATTTTAATCACTTTAACAGTAGCACAGAGGCCATATAACGTTAAACCAAACAACATTTAAGCAAATGGCATGTTAACGGACTATTTTTCCAGCATACAGACAGAAAATCTGAAGGAATTCATTATTAAAGAAGTACAGAGAAATTACTGCTTGATGACATTCTTATTTCTTTCCAACAAGAATTTCGTTTCTGTTAAATACTGAATCCTCAAAAATTATTACTGACTGCCTTTCAGATATGTTTAACCCGCAAGCTAAAATCGGCGATAAATCAGTAAAATGTAGCGCGGAAATATCAAGTGAAACCGCTATTAAAGTGGCTTTTTCGTTGAAAAAGTTTTTTTATGCAACTTTCAATCTTCTCTTTCAAACTAACTAAGAATAAATAGTATTTAGTAAGTATAAGATTACACGCATATTTTACCTGATCAGGTTCAATATAATACCAAACTTGCTGACCATTCTTGATAATTGTTCATAAATAGGTGCCTGACATTCCGCTATATTTCAGTAAAAGAACAATTGAGAGCTTTAGTTTTGCTTCAATTGTTTTCAAGATATGGCCCTTTGGGGTTAATTTAAGATGGTCTCCAGGGTTGTACTGAGATGCCAAGTTTATAAAACCGTTTACAACTACATAATTACAGTTTAGAACAACTCTGTTTAAAAATGATTTATTTTACTGAAAGATATATAGATAAAATAATATAAATGAAATTAAAAATGAACGAATAAAAAATGAAACAAAAAAGAATTAAAATAAAGAAAAAATGTCAAATAAAAAAAAATGTATTGATATCGTTTACACTCAGAAAAGCGATAATCGTCATCAAATCAGATCCAAGAGAGTTTGAGTCATTGGCTGACATTGCTGCTTTATGTAGATTTTCGGCACTATACTAGACAATTTGTTTTCTAAGAATAATTTTTTTTTTTTTACAAAGAACTTTCTTTTAAAATAAGTTCATGCAAATAACCGTTTCTATTGATATTTCTACAACACCATTATTATATTATTTGCTGTGCACACAACTCGTTTTATTAGCCTCGTATCAAATTGTAACATGAATGCTTATTAGTTGTATGATCATTATATTGGTGAATAACCTGGCATTTACCTGTTGCATATAACTCGAACA